ACTTTTGTTCATATTCACTTAAAAATATTAGTATTACAGTTCATTGAGTAAAGTTTCAGATTTTATGGAACTTCTTTTGTTCTTTGAACATGTTCTGATATGACTGTAAAATTAGTACTGTTTTCAGAAGTCACTTGGGGTTTTGTTTTTTGTTTTTTCATTATAGTTATGTTACCTTTTGACATATAGTTAGGCTTATCTGTTTCCATACTTTTAATCTGGGAGCTTGGGGTTTTTTTTCGTTTAATTTATATTTTGAATATTTAAAATACTTTTATGGTACAAAAGTCCAAATTATACCTAGCATGTATACTCTGAAGACTTGATTTCATTTAGAGCTCCTTCCTCCATCCCTGTAGGTAACCATAATTATTGGTTCCTGGGTTATCTTTCCAATGTTTATTTTTGTGAAAATGATAAAATACTGATATACAGCATGATCAAAAGTAGGATTACAGTTGTGAGTATACAACAGTTTATTCTTGTATTATTATTGTTATTATTTTCCATACCAACAACTCTAAGCCTACGTTTGCCCCACCCTGTATTTTAACCCCCTTTAAAAAAAAACTAGCATACTGTATATACTGTTCCTGCCCCTTGCTTTTTTATTTTTATTTTATTTTTTCTTTATTGATTTTAGAGAGCAAGACAGAGAGAGCGAGAAACATCGATGAGAGAGAACATCGATTGGCCGCCTCCTGCACGCCTCCCACTGGGGATCTGGTCCACAACCTGGGCATGTGCCCTGACCGGGAATCGAACCAGTGACCTTAGTGCATGGGTCACCGCTCAGCCACTGAGCCACACTGGCCAGGCCATCTTGCTTTTTTAATTTAATATATCCTTGAGATCAGTTAATAGAGATTGTCTTCATTCTCATTTAATGGCTGCATAGTGCTGTGTAGTTTCGATAAATAATGATCTTTTCAACTAGTCCTATACTGAGGGATACTTGGATCCCTACCATCATTTGGTATCCAAATACTGTTGCAGTATAGAACCTTGTGCTTGTGTTGTTTTGATTTTATAAAAGTGCATTTGAGAGTAGATTCCTAATTAGAGTAGATTCCTATTGATGCACAAAGTAATTTTGCTTATGTAATTTTGTTTTATTTGCCAAATTCCCAGGTATGAGAGTATCTATTTCTCCACAGGCTTTTCAAGAGCATGTTATGAAACTTAAGCATATAATGGTAGTTTTAATTTATACTTTGGTGAATGAAAACAAGTATTTTTTAAATATGTTTAAGAGTGATGTTTCTTTCCTGTGAATTATTTCTTCATATTTTTTGCTCTTTGGTTTTGATCTCTTTTTTCTTTTAATTGTTAGAAGCCCTTTGAAGTTAACCCTTTGAGATGTAGTTGCAAATATTTCTCCTGGTTTGTCACCTGCCTTTTAAATAATGATGGTCTCTAGTGCTTTTCAGCCACACAATTTCTTATGTACTTGAATTTATCAAGTTTTTCCTTTAAAGCTTCTGGATTTGGGGTCATAATTAGAAATGCTTTCCCCACTCTCAAGTAATAAAGGAATTTACACATTTTTTAGTATTACTTATTGGGTTTAATTTGACTACCTTTAATCTCTGATTCATTAGTATTTTATTCTTATATATAGTGTTAAATACAGGTCTGATTCAATCTTTTTTCAAGTGGTTATCCACTGTCTCAACACTATTCATTAAAAACTCTATAATTTCCCCCCATTGATTTGAGATGGCACCTTTATCATATATTACATTTTCATGTGTATTTGGACCTCTTTCTGGTTTTTATATTTTTTATTGGTTTGTATGTTATCATGTACCAGTACTACACTGTTTTATTTATGTAGACTTCATAATGTTTTTATTTTTAGTATTTTTCTTTAATCCTCACCTGAGGATATTTTTTCATTGATTTTTATTTTTATTTTATTTTCTTTATTGATTTTAAAGTGAGAGGAAGTGAGAGGGAAAGAGAGAGAAACCTCAATGAAATAAAACATTGATTGGCCACCTCCAGCATGCCTCCCACTGGGGATCAGGCCCACAACCTGGGTATGTGTCCTGACCAGGAATCGAACCAGTGACCTCCTGGTGCATGGGTCGATGCTCAACCACTGAGCCACACCAGCCGGACTTCATTGATTTTTAAGTAGAATGGAAGGGAAGGAGAGAGAGAGACATCAATGTAAGAGAGACATATCGATTGGTTGCCTCCCACATGTACCCCAACCAGGGCAGGGATCGAACCTGCAACCCAGGTACATGCCCTTGACGAGGAATCGAACCTGAGACCCTTTAGTCTGAGGGCTGATGCTCCAACTACTGAGTGAAACCAGCCAGGGCCATAATATGTTCTAACATCGGGTAGGACTGTTGTCCCCTCCTTGTGTTCTTTTCGTGGGTTTTGCTGGATATTTTTAATTGTTCGTTTTTTTTTTCTTTGTTTTTTTTTTCCTCACCCGAGGACATTTTTCCATTTTTTGCACAGATAGAGTGGGAGGGAGAGAGAGGAAGAGAGAGAGAGAGAGGGAAACATCGATGTGAAAGGGACACATCGAGTGGCCGCCACCCGCAGGACCAACCAGGGCCGGGGACAAACTGCAACCGAGGTACATGCCCTTAGCGGGAACCGAACCCGGGTCTCTCCGGACCGCAGGCGGATGCTCTAACCGCTGAGCCAAACCGGCCAGGGCTAATTGTTCGTTTTTTTATATATATATATAAACTTCAGATTCAACCTTGTAACTCTGGAAAAAATTATCGATTATTTTTATTGGGCAGCCTTGTTATCTTTATGATGTCATTTTATCTAAGAACATGATACTTTGCTATTTATTTAAGTCTACATTTTTTTTTGTCTTTTAAGAGTGCTTTAAATTTTTATTTCAGAAAATTAAAATACAAAAATAAAAGCAGTAGTGAATTGAACTCCCATGTACTATTACCCAGCTTTAACAATGAACTTTTTTTTTTATCCTCACCTGAGGACAGACGTTCTTCCATTTTTTGTTCAGATAGAGTGGGAGAGAGAGAGAGAGAGAGAAACATTGACATGAGAGAGACACATTGAGTGGTTGCCATCCACACAGCCCAACCAGGGCCAGGGACAAACTGCAACCCAGGTATGTGCCCTTAGCGGGAACCGAACCCGATCTCTCTGAGCCACTGGCCAACGCCCCATCCGCTGAGCCAAATCGTCCAGGGCAACAACGGACATTTTTAATAGCTGGAGTACTTGACTTACAATAGGGGTCCAATTCTTGACTCTGTTTTTCTGACATCAAAAGGCAATGTTGCTATAGTTACTTCTAGGTGAAGTAACTATTTGGCCCTTTACAGAAAAGTTTACCGACTTCTGTATTAAACATTGCTTCAGGATGATTTTGAAAGGACATGTTACATTGGTTATCACATTTATGTAGTCTCTGAGAAATTTTTTTAAAACAACAAAAGTAAATCCTGTTCCCTCTCAAATTATAATATATAAAAGTTAAAAATCATTTCAAATTTAGATTGAACATATATGGAAGATTTTAATTCAGTTCATTAATGAAGGAACGGATGAGATGGTAAAACTGGTTCTAAGTTTTGAGGAACTTGAGTTTATATAGTCCTTCCTTTAAAAAAAGAATATTAGAAAAAGATTGCTAGGTTAGAAAGAAAATTGGTAATATCCTGTAGGTAACCTTTGAGTTATCTTTTTGTTGGACCTAAGTCATTTGCCTATCTATTGGACCCAAATCTACAGGTTAATATGTAACTGCATCGAGTCTGGTTCCTTAATTAATAGTAGGTAAGTCAGAATTGGGTGGACATGTTAAAACAAAGTCTGCAAACTCTACAGTCTGTGGGTCAAATCTGGCTTGGTGCTTGTTTTCATAAAGTATTTTTCAGAACACAGCCACACTCACTGTCTTTGGCTGCTTTTGCACCATAATAGCAGAGTTGAGTAGTTGTGGCAGAGACTACTGGCCCACATAGCCTAAAATATTTACTATTTGGCCCTTTACAGAAAAGTTTACCGACTCCTGTATTAAGCATTACTTCAGGATGGTATTGAAAGGACATGTTGCCATTATCTTGGCCTTCCAGGACTGGGGTAATTTTTCTTAACCCAAATCAACAATGAGATGATAAAATCTGCTCTGCCTGGCATTTCTACATCTAATGAATTTGTTATCCACCACCTTCTGTATTTTTACTTTATGCGTGTATGTCTCTTCTTGGTGTAGCCACCTATCTGGTTATCTCTGTATCTTTTCCTACAATTCTGACTTGTCCTACTGCTCTTTTTTTTTTTTTTCCTCCTTCAAGCTCCCTAAACTTGCTATAATATGGAATGTTAATATATTTAAATATTGTACTGGTAAAGTTTTATATTCCCCATTCTTAATTTTTAATTTAGGTCAGTTTAGACTGTTATATGTTCACCTCAAAGTAAAACCAAAATACAAACCAATTTTAGTTATCAAAATTTTTGTGGATTCTACTAATCTCATTTCTACCACTAACTTCTCCTCTCACTCCCTAGTTGTAGCTTTCAATGGAAGAAAAGTTTCCTACACTGTTTTAATCAAGCTGGAGGACTGGGGTGGGGCATGGAAATAAGACTTTCTTAGTTCTAAACTTTATGTTTTAGAATATTTTAAAACATTTTTTTATGTAGAATTTTGTAAGGAAAACCTTGTAGGATACCTTAAAGTAACTTGGAAGCCACAGAATGGTTAAATTTTAGTTCATTCTTAGTAAATATTGGTTGACTATTTGATAATATAGTCTTAAGACAATAAGTAAAAGTGCAGAACTAGAGTCCTGCTCAATAAAAATCCTATTTTCCTGAGGGTTTTAAAAATCTAAACGTACACTTTTCTATTTACAAAAAGTTACTTTAATATAGCTATTTAAAGTATTACTTTTTAAATCTCACACCTGTATAAAGTCAGAAGTAGTGCTCAATTAACAAGTAAAGAAATTTACCACTTAATAAAATAATATTTTTTCATCTTCAAGATAAAGCAGAAAGAGAGAAAGAGCAATACCGATACTTTATATGAAGTTGTGTGCTTGGAAAGTGAATCAGAAAGAGAGAGGAGGAAAACTACAGCCAGTCCCTCAGTTCGCCTGCCACAGTCTGCATCTCAGTGCTCAATGATACCGTCTCCTCCTGAAGATGATGAAGAGGAAGGTAAATTGTAGGGAGAGCTTCAGTTCTGTTTTGTGGTGGAGGACTTTAATTTTATCAGGGAATTGATAATGTAACATAGCATTTGGAATTCCTTCAATAATTGTAAGAGTCTACTATGTGCAAAGGACTGTGGGAGATCCAAAAATGATTAACTCAGGACCTTCTTTAAAATAATTGTAATCAAGTTGGACAAAATGAAATGTATAATTAGTCTTTTTTATAAAAATCAGTCTGGTGCTATGATAGATTAGTGTATTTGTGTAAATTTATACAGCTTCCACTTGAATGTTTTTGTCTCATTGGATTTTTTGGTTAATTCTCACCCAAGGATATTTTTTTATTGATTTTTAGACAGAGTGGAAAGGAGGGAGCCAGGGGGAGCACTGATGTCATTGATGTGAGAGAGAAACATGAACCAGCTACCTCCTGCACACCCCATACCAGATTTTGAACCTGAAACCCGGGAAGGGGCCCTGACTGTCGATCAAACTGGGACCTCTCAGTCCATAGGACAAAGCTCAACCAACTGAGCCACACCTGCTGGGCTCATTAAATTCATTTTATAGAGTCAAGTTCACTTGCCAAAAGTGGCTTCTACATATGTGCCCTGGCCAGTTTGGCTCAGTGGTTAGAGCGTCGGCCTGCGATCCAGAGAGACCTGGGTTCAGTTCCTGCTAAGGGCATGTAACTTGGTTGCAGTTTGTCCCCCGCCCTGGTTGGGTTGTGCGGGAGGCAGCCACTCGATGTGTCCCTTTCACGTCAATGTTTCTCTCTCTCTCTCTTCCTCTCTTTCCCTTCCACTCTATCTGAACAAAAAATGGAAAAATGTCCTCGGGTGAGGATAATAAAAAACATACATATGACCCTGTCACAAAACACATATATATTTAAATATACATATTGATATTTATACATTTTGGAGTTTGTACACTGATAAATGTTAGGAATCAACCAGTTGGGGTTTTCCCTCTTTTTTATGGTTATTTCTATGAACTAATCTGTCAGTCTGTCAGTCTCTGTTAGATACATAGAAGTGAGAAAGGGAGGGAAGGAGCACAGGACATGTGAAAGTTTGGGGGGCATTTTCTAATTTATGATTTATTTTTAAGGGGGGGAAAGCTGATTACAATAGAAAGTTATATGAAGCATGTGGCTATCGGAGGTTCACAGGAAGTGTTCTGGATACATAGAGGAGAACCCATTTTTCACTGTGGGAATGTGATGTGGGGCATATGAAGAGTAGTTTTAGCCCAGCTGCAGTGGCTCAGTGGTTGAATGTCGACCCATGCACCAAGAGGTTGCCAGTTCGATTTCTGGTCAGGGCACATGCCCAGGTTGTGGCCCCAATCCCCAGTGTTAGGCATGCAGGAGGCAGGCAGTCGTTGCTCTCATTCATTGATATTTCTGTCTCTCTCATATCAATAAAGAAAAATTTAAAAAAGAAAGAAAAAGTAAATTTTGAGCTGGGACTTGGAAAATTCAAGGAGAATTCAGCAGGACTATCTGGGCTGGTTTGGGCTCTCCTGGCCAAGAAAGTGCATCAACAATAGCACAGAAATGGCAGGAAAGATTGATTAGGTTAAAAGAAATAATATTCATGATTATATGGACTTTTTCAAGTTTAGAGCAAGCTCTGTCTTTATGCTTTCCATTGTTCTCTGTAATTTCCACTTGTCCTATGACTGACTAATCAACTTAGGATCACTTATTAGTAGTAATAATGGCCACCAATTACTAGATGCTTAGTGTGTGGTAGACAGGTACTTTGTTTATAAAATAAAACAGGACTAGGTTTATATAATCCTTGCCAAAAAACCTGAAAAATAGGATTCATTATTCTTACTTTGCACATAAGGAAATGGAATCTCAGAAAAGTGTGTTTGCCAAGGTCACAGAGCCTGAAATAGCAGGGAGGATTTAATTCAGGTCTATGAGTTAACAGTCTGAGCTCTAGTCTGTCATCATTTCTGTGCACTAGTTCACATAAAATAAAATACTTTATTTTAAAGTACAAAGAAAGCACATGTATTATTTTTGGAGAAGTGGCTGATACACTTTAGAGTCTCCTTGCAGAGCCAGTTTAAGTCGTGTGTTAAAACTGGGAAAGGTGGACTTGTTCCTGCAGTTTGAGACTGTCTTCTATATAACTGGTGGTCTTGAGACTTGCAGTTTCCCTGCTAGATCAATACTGCTTAAGATGGCAAAGCAAGTAAAAGTTTACAGGACTCTCCTCCACTTAAGCTCAGAAATAAAAGCAAAAACTACCAAACAATTGAGAAAGATACTCTGTTATGAAATCAGAGAATGTTCAAGTCTCCATACTAGAGAAGAGAAGTTAATATCTGCCAGTGACAAAGAAACTGGGCCCAGCTAAACAATGCCATTAGGACTCACATCTAGTTCTAGTCTGTAGCAGGCATAGATATTTAAATATAATTGAAGGGGTTCAGAAGTCCTTTACTGACAATTAACTAGGGAGAGATCAGCACTAATGGCAGCATGGCAGAATCAGGGAGCACTAGAGCACATGCTCTGTGAAGGAAGGGACTGTGACCTGTTTTGCCCCACATTGTTTCCCTTTTGTATAACAATTCCTGGTATGTAATACCATGCTGACTGGGACTGAAAAAGACTGTGTAGCCATGCCATCTTTTAATTCTCTTTAACCCACTATACAAACCAGGGAAACAGTCCTGTTGTGATCTGTTAGCTCCCTGGAAAGAAATAGGTACAGACCTCTAGAGAGGCTCCTTATCCTTAGGACATTTGTGCTTACGGGGCAAAAAGCCAACAGTTGTAAAGAGGGTGTGGAGAGGATTTTAAGAAACAATAGCCTGAGCTTTAGCCGGTTTGGCTCAGCAGTAGAGCGTTGGCCAGCAGACCAGTGAGTCTTGGGTTTGATTCTGGTCAAGGGCATGTACCTCTGTTGCGGTTCGTCCCTGGCCCTGGTCAGGGTTGTTCGGGCAACAACTAGTCAGGGTGTCCCTCTCACGTTGATGTTTCTCTCTCTCCCTTTCTCTCCCTCTCTCTCACTCTATCTGAAGATAAATAGAAAAATGTCCTTAGGTGAAAATAAAAACAAAAAAGAATAATAGCCTGAGATTTAGACTGCTGCTCACTCCCCACTCTTAGGTGCATGGAGTGCTAAACACAGATTTCAAACTACTACTATCCAGATTTGTTGTAAGATAGGTCTAATCTCTTTGAAGGAATAATCAGTCATCTCTTGTAAATTTTAGTACATTTTTGTAGCTGCCTTCCCCCAAAAAGCTGTATCATATTGACATTTTAATGAGTAGAAAATTACTTGAAGCATTAGAAAGTAGGGCCAGTTCTGGCAAAACAGTCAAGTACAAGTTTATCTTGTGCCCTGAAGCCTTGCTTTTTTCCTTATTCATCCATCTACAGAGGATGTCTCACATTCATTGTGACCTCTTCCTTATCTCACTATCAAAACTCATGATAATGCCCAAGGCAAATGTAAGAAAGTTTAATAATAAGTATCATGGGTTTCTGAGTCCTTAAAAAAATCAGTTTGTAATGTAATTATCAGGTGTGTAAAGCTCCAAACTTCATTTAGGCAAGTTAAAACAGAAAATCTTGAAATAGCACTGGTGAGGACATATGAAAACAGGTACTGTTGTACCCAACCAGTGGAAATATAAATTGGTAAAACCATTTTTTTAAGTCTTTTATTTTTTCTTTATTAATTTTAGAGAGAGAGAGGAAGGGAGAGGGAGAGAGAGATAGAAACATTGATGAGAGAGGACATCTATTGGCTGCCTCCTGCATTATCCCCACTGGGGATTTGGCCCACAACCTGGGCGTGTGCCCTGACCAGGAATCAAACTGGGGACCTCTTGGTGCATGGGACAATGCTCAACCACTGAGTCATACTGGTGAGCATATCTTACCAGCTTTAAATTTGTATTTAAATTTACTTTTCCTAATTACTTGAATTAAATTTCAAATGGTTCATTTTTAGTTCTTTTAATAGTTTTGTTCTTTCTGTTATAAACTAATGTATGCCATTGTAGAAAATTGTGAAAATGTAAAGGAGAGAAAAATATATAACTCCCATCATTCAAGGGCAATAATTATTAATATCTTGGCATAGTTCATTCCAGACTATTTTCTTTTAAAAAATTAATAGACTGTATTTTCTAGATCAGTTTTAAGTTTAAGGGAGGAAGGAAGGGAGGGAGGGAAAGAGACAGACGTGGATGTGAAAGATACATCAATCAGCTGCCTCCCACACATGCCCCGAACCTGCAACCTGGGCATGTGCCCTGATCAGGAATTGAACCCATGACCTTCTGGTTCATTGGACGATGCTCCAACCAACTGAGCCACACCACCAAGGCAAAGCTTTAGCTCTTGATGTTTTTATGTCGTATTTTGCCGAATCATCATGTAAATAAATGTCAACATACAATTACATTGTAAACACATACCGTAATTTAACAATTCTCTATTCTCCTATTGTTGGACACCTAGGTGGTTTGTAGTTTTTTTTAATATGTTTTTATTGAGTTTAGAGAGAGGAAAGGAGAAGGAGAGATAGGAATGTCAATGAGAGAGACATGAATCGGCTGCCTCTTGCATGCCCCCTGCTGGGGATTGAGCCTGAAACCCAGGCTTGTGCCCTGACAGGGAATCGAATCAGCAACGTCTTGGTGCATGGGTCGATGCTCAACCACTGAGCCACACTGGTGTTCAACCACTGAGCCACACTGTCAGGGAGATTTCTAATTTTTTTAACTTCTGTAAATAAGACTGCTGTATATTTTCATGCATAAAGCTGTTTGCTTTGGCAAAGGAGAGAGAACACACCATATTTTGAGTTCTGTTATTTTATAATTAAATGGCTCTCTTCTACAGTTGACATAATATAGACCTTTGTGGAAAACAAAAGAGAAAGAGAGAGATCACAACAACATTCCACCTAGGACCATTTTTAATTTTGTATTTATACCTGAATACTAAAAGAGAAATTATGACTTATTCTTCCAGTAAAATCTTTCAAATCTGACTGTTCCATTTCCATGTCATTCCTCTGGATAGCATAGCCACCTCTTTTACCTTTCTGTGTGTGTTTTGTTTATTGAAGATAACGATGAACCCCTCTTAAGTGGATCTGGTGATGTATCCAAAGAATGTGCAGAAAAAATTCTCGAAACATGGGGAGAACTGCTGTCAAAATGGTAAGTTAAAATAGTTCTTCTTTTCATCTGCAATTCTATTATGTTTAGTTTTAGAACCATTAATAGAAACCTAAGTATGAGGTTCATGTTCTAGAATCTGTTTTTAGACGTTTTTGAGGGTAGTAATAAATATCTGAAATCAACATTCAGAATATTAGAAACCTAATAAATTCTCATTGCTGTGGAAGATATTTATTCAAACATGGAGTCCATAGTGTGAATGACTAAGGACAGACTCCTTTATATTGAAGAGTTTAGGAACCAGTAACTGGTTAAGATAATACACAATAATAGTTAAATAACACACAACAATCAGTTAAGTGTAAAGGACACTCACAGAATCCATAGAGCCACAGATGAGACCCCAGGTAGGATTTGTCCTTATTCTTTTTTTTTTTATCCTCAACCGAGGACATTTTTGTTGTTGTTGTTTAGATAGAGTGAGAGAGAGATAGAAACATTGACGTGAAGGGGACACATCGAGTGGTTGCCTCCCGCACGACCCAACCAGGGTCAGGGACAAACTGCAACCAAGGTACATGCCCTTAGCGGGAACCGAACCCGGGTCTCTCTGGACCACAGGCCAATGCTCTAACTGCTGAGCCAAACCGGGCAGGGCAGGATTTGTCCTTATTCTTATGTGCCTAAGGTGACAGAGCAGAATGTTATAAACATGGTATATATTAACTGCTCTACCAATTACTTTTTCTACTAACACTTGTAAAATTCTGGAACTTCTCATCAGCTCAAGAGATAGTTTGACAACAGTGTTAAGGAGTACTATTCTGTAGACCAGCGATTTAAATCGTTGTGGTGCAAGAATTTTTAAAATGTTCACTACCTGACTATTTAATCAGGGGCACTGACCTCTCTTTTCTTAGACTGTAAATTTAAAAAATGACAACAGCCAACACAACAATAGCCATCTGGTGTGAATGAATCAAACTTATATCTATTTTTGTCGAATGGACAGAAAGATATATTTTTTGGTGTGTCGCAGAATTTTAGTAATTAGTTTATGTGTGCCATGAAATGAAAAAGGTTGAAAATTGCTGCTATAGATTGTCTTAAAAAAATACATAACCTGCAGGTATTTATTAATGAAACCAGAGACACTCTGATTAAGTCAGTTTGGAGAGATGTTTATATAGTTTCCTTTTCCTTCTGTAGGAAGCCAGGGTGAGCTGAAGAAAGGCTGAGCTGGAAAGTGATCGCTTCACTTCTCTCTTTCAGACTTTCTGATTATTAGGGTCATCATATAAGTGCCCCATGGGCCTATTACTTTGGGGTTTGATTTTTCTCACATTTTAACTGTTGAAACTTTTCACTCTATTCTTGGAAAAACAGTCTCGCCCTGGCTGGTTTGGCTCAGCGGTTGGAGCATCTGCTTGTGGTCCAGAGAGACCCGGGTTCAGTTCCCACTAAGGGCATGTACCTTGGTTGCGGTTTGTCCCGGCCCTGGTTGGGTCATGGGGGTGGCAACCACTCGATGTGTCCCTTTCACATCGAAGTTTCTCTTTCTCTCTCTCCCTCCCACTCTATCTGAACAGAAAATGGAAAATGTCCTCGGGTGAGGATTAAAAAAAAAAAAGAAAAGAAAAACTGTCTCTCCATTTTAAAAAACTTAATTTCCTTAAGTGACAGGACTACAAATGGGCATCATCTACTCCTAGCACTCTCACAATGCCTTACACTTTTGGTAAAATACTCTTCACATTGGGAAATATCAAGTGTGTACAGGAGGAAAATTCTAACCAAAGCATGGTTTGTCTTCCCATAAGTGGTTTTATTAAATGAACTCTGAAAAAAAAAAACCCAGGGGAATGAATAGTTCTCATTTACTTTTGCTATTGCTTTAGCAGTCAGAAGACAAACAAATTGTGATGTTCTCATCACAATTATATTTTCAGTTCAATGTCTTCGGAGTGTTTGCACTGCTGCTGGCAGGAATTTCTTCTGTATACAATGCAGATTTCTGCTCTAAAATAGAAATGTAATTGAGTCTAGAATGGTTATGTAATAGGGTATTTAAAATCATTTAGATACAGCATTTAGATTCTAGATTAGATGAACTGACCAGCATTTTATACATTGCTTGGAATTTGTTTTCTTATCAAGCTTTGTTTATTCATTTTGTTAATTCATTTAATTATCTCCTTCTTCAAATATATTAACTGAGTTTCCATGTATGAACAGTCTTCAGGGCATTTAAAACTGTTTTTCCTGGTTTCACTCATGTCTTCAGAAATAATAGAGTTTCTCCTCAATTCATTTACTTGTATTTTTTTTTTTATTATTGTTTTAGAGAGGAAGGGAGAGGGAGGTAGAAACATCAACGTGAGAGAGAGACATCGATCCGCTGCCTCCTGCACACCCCCTACTGGGGATTGAGCCCACATCCTGGGCATGTGCCCTGATGGGAATCAAACGGGGAATTCTCAGTCCATGGGACAATGTTTGATCCTTTGAGCCACACTGGCCAGGCAAATTTTTTATCATTATTATATGCGTTCTATAGATAGGAAGCATCACCATATTATGGAATTTTGGAGTCTGGTAGACAGGGCTTCACAGACTACCTGTCCTACTTCCAAGCTGTATCATATTGGGAAAGCAGAGACAAGACATAAACAAAAATGGTGGTTTCAATGAAAGTTGATTTATAGAAACTGGTGGATTTGGCTCGCAAACCGTAGTGTACCAATCCTTGAATTAAGGAGCAGAATTACTCGTGTTGTTTCTGCTCTAAACTCTTCAGTTCTTATATGTATATTTTTTTCTAAGCAAAGACAATACTGTATTGAATTGTTTATAGCTCTTGCATTAGGGTACTAGCAACACAGAATTAACCATTAAAAAAAATTTTTTTTCTTTATTATGTTTAGAGAGAGAGGAAAGGAGAGATAGAAACATCAATTGGCCGCCTCCTGCATGCCCCCTATTGGGGATCGGGCCCACAACCTGGGCACGTGCCCTGACGGGGAATCGAACCAGCGACCTCCTGGTGCGTGGGTCGGTGCTCAACCACTGAGCCACAGCAGCCGGGCAGAATTAACCATTTTTAAATGGACTATGAATTCTGCTGGAATTCTGGAAACATTTTGAGAAAAGTCTCAGACACCTTTTTATATTTTGATAGTGGTCATATTGTATCAGTAACTTCTGCTTAAATCTGATAGTCACAGGAGCTTCTCCATGTCAGAAGCCTGCTTTATTGACTCAGTAATGGTGGCTTTCAAATCACAAAGCAGGTGTGATACAAGATAGAACATTTATTGGTCTTAGAATTTGAGGGTTACCTCAGTCATTGAATTGATTTCTCTGAATTTCTTTCTTCATTTGTAACTACCACCTACCTCATGCTTGTTATAATGATCAAATAAAATTGTATGCAAAACACTTTGTATGTCAACACCAACATTTTAAGATACATTTATTTTCCTCGTTTTATAGATGAGATAGATGAAATTCAAAGACTTCAACTTGTTTTGATGTTATTATATAGCAGAAACTATCTTAATCAACATAGTCATTCAAAAAAGTCACTTGAAGCAAGGTTTACTGAAAACATTTCTTTTTATATTTATTTTAACTTAGAACAGATATTTATTTTAATTTAGAGTATATAAATACACTGTCAATTGTCAAACAGGGCCAAGCCCTTATCTTTGGCTGTGTGCCCACTGATTGGGAATTTTGCTTCATCTATCTTACATAATCCACAACCATAAAGCTCTGGTTTCTAGTTTTGCTTATTATATTTTATTTTTTAAGTAGAGCAATAATAAAGATACTTAGGAAGTATTCTGACTGCAGAATTCTTTCCTCTGCCCAGTCTTTTATAGTTATCTTGGCCACATCTGATTCAACAGCTTTATATTTTTCTTTATTAGTATGTGATCTTTATTAAGTCTTTGTAAGTCATTTAGTTTAGTTTTTATAAAAATAACACTTTTTAGAGACTCTTTCCCTTATATACTTGTGGATTATGGCTTTATTTTTAGGCATCTCAACTTGAGTGTGAGACCAAAGCAGTTGTCATCCTTAGTAAGAAGTGGTGTTCCTGAAGCTCTTCGAGGAGAAGTCTGGCAGCTGCTAGCAGGTTGTCACAACAACGACCACCTGGTAGAAAAATATCGAATTCTCATCACAAAGGTAAGGGGATGATTATTCAGCTTCAGCATTAATATTTTTGGAAATTTGTTACAAAAAGACTGTGGCTATTTGATTTCCAATAATTTTTACAATTATCTAATGTAAGAACAGAACTATTTTTTTAATGTTTTTATTGATTTATTTTAGAGAGACAGGAAGGGGGAGAGAAATAGAAACATCCATGTGAGAGAGAAACATCAGTCTACTGCCTCCTTCCTGCACACCCCCTGCTGGGGATAGAGCCTGCACCTGGACATGTGCCCTGGCGGGGGAATCAAACCAGGACTTCTCAGTCCATGGGATGAATGCTCAGTCCACTGAGCCACACTTGCCAGGCAAGAATAGAATTTATATCCACTTAGCCACACTTGCCAGGCAAGAATAGAACTTTTATACTTCTAGCCCAAAGTTATTTCTAGTGTTGGCACAAAGGAGAAGGATAGTTTTTATTCCTTGATTGACTTCATCTCAGGGTCAAAGGATGTTCTCTATCCGTTGTGTTCCTAAATTCTTTTTGACCATAATTGCATTTTTAATTAGATCAGTTGTGCTATGTAATGTGTAAAAAAATTATTTATTTTAATCCTTTTCACATGTCACAGAAATGTTCTCTTTGTAGGTAAGGCCTACTTCTAGTTTCTACAATTGGAAGAACATAGTTCTGTTATCTTAAACCAAATTCCCTTTTAGCTCTTTTCTTTAAAGTGAAGAGTTCTCATTTTTTATAGTATCCCTTCTCAAGTTCATGCATTCTCAAGGTTTTGCAAACGAAGTAACAAAAACTGTTCCTTGCACGAGCATATAGGAATTTGAAAAATAATTTTCTGCAAGATTAGGTAATGCTTTGTGCCTTTGTAACCATGTTATTGGTTTAAATTTCTATTTTTGTTTTCTCAAATTCTTGAAATGTTCATATTCAGGAAACAGTTTTTCCAGTGGTGTACTAATGAGTGAATTTCTCAGTACCCTCAATAATATATCAGAATTTTTCAGTGTGACAAAAGGTGGGACTTCTGTTAAAACTGTATTTACATCTTATAAGGGATGAATAATACTGCTATAAAATTTTTATTTGAAAAACTTTATAAGGGAAGAACGGCATTTACACATGAAATTGGATCTTTCCACATCAGAAAATGATAATTATAATTTGTTAAAAATATTCGTGTACCTTCTTATCTTATTTCCAGACAGATGTTTTTTCTTTTAAGAACTAATATTCTAATTTCCTCTATTATGTTGATATAATTGTTTAACCAGGATTTATTGAGTGCCTGTATTACAATCATTATGCTGGAGCTAGGAGGTCAAACACAGAAGCAATTAACTATCATATGGTAGACATATGTCACGTGATAGTCTGAAAAAGCACAGTCGGGGCATCAAAAGTAGTGATAAATTCAGCCTGGGAGAATAGGGGAGTCTTTGACAGGAACATCACATTTAAGATGGATCTCAGAAAAGAGCTCCCCAGGCATGGAAGGATGGAAGAGCTTTGTGCTCGTAGCATGAATGGAGAATGAGGGTATGTAACATGTAGAGCCAGCAAAGGTACACCTAGCCAGTGTTTTTCTTTTATTGGAAAGTCATATTTTGAGTGTAAAATTCTCAGTTATAACTATCTTTCTAGTTTCTCTCTTGAAGTCCTTTGAAATGTTTGGCCAAAAATTATTTCTTTTTAGGAAGAGGGGAGAGAAACATTGATGTGAGAGAGACACGGCAATTGGCTTCCTCCTGCATGACCCTCACCAGGGCCAGGGATCGAACCTATAACCCAGGGACTCGCCCTTGACCAGGAATGGAACCCATGACCCTTCGGTCCAAGGGCCGACACTCTAACTGCTGAGCCAAACCAGCCAGGGCCAAAAATTATTTCTTAAATATTTTTGGTATGGCTATTCATATAGATAATTTTAAAGACATGACGTTTTCTGTTTTTCTGGTTCCATGAAAATGGTGAAGACTGTTTTTTGAATAGGAACTTGATAATTTACGTGAGGTGTAAAAAACATCAGCTGTTAACAAAATCTGATATATTTTATTGTTTTACATATGCTGATGTCATGCATTATGTGTCACATTAAACTATTATTATGCACATGGCTAGAACCAAAAAAGATCTTTAATGATGTATATATGTTAATTTAAATTGCTCATAGATGATCAGAAAATACAAATTATTTAACCATCATAATATTGGCGAAAACTTTTTTTTCTTTATTGATTTTAGAGAGAGAGAGAGAGAGAGAGAGAGAGAGAGAGACAGAAACATCAATGAGGGAGAACATCGACTGGCCGCCTCCTGCATGCCCCCCACCGGGGATTGGGCTCACAACCTGGACATGTGTTCTGACCGGGAATCAAACTGGCGATCTCTTGGTGCATGGGTCGATGCTCAGCCACTGAGCCACATCGGCTGGCACTGTTGTTTCACACTACAGTGTTATTTGATGCAAGTTGGTATCGCTTTAAATGCAATTGTATAGTCATGCAGCATGTACTAGTCTGTATCTGACTACTTTTGCTCATCCATTTTGAGAGTGTATCTGTAGCTCTTTGTTTGTTTGTTTTCATATTTTTAATTGCTAAGAGTATTCCATTGCATCAGTAAACCATACTTTAAAAAAAAATCTATTTTGCTATTATAGATGTTTGTCGGGGGGTTCCCCCCATTTTTGGCTATTATGCAGAAAGTTGCTTATGAACATTCTTGCATATAGGAGGTGCTATAGTCTGCTTGTTTTTGCCTCTCGAAATTCATGTGTTGAAACCTAACCTCCAAGGTTATGAGATTAGGAGGTGGGACCTTTGGGAGATAGGTCATGACAGCAGAGCCCCCATTATAGGGATTAATGCCTTTATAAAAGAGGCTCCAGAAAGATCTCTTGCCACCTTCCACCATGTGAAAACACAGCAAGAGGTTGGCAGTCTGAAACCCAGAAGACAGCCTTTACAAGAACCCAACCATGCTGTACTCTGATCTTGGACTTCCAGCCTCCAGAATTGTGAGCAATAAATTACTGCTGTTTATAAGTCATCTGGTCTGTGGTATTTTGATACAGCAGCCCAAACAAACCAAGACAGCAGGATTTGTACATTCTATTATATACACTCATACACACACAGAGACAATAATATTTACGTGTGTGTGTGTGTGTGTGTGTGTGTGTGTGTATATATATATATATATATATATATATTACTAATTTTTGAAGCTATTCATTCTGGACTTGGGTTCTTTGCCAGGTATATGCTTTCTGTTCTGCAATGTCACATATAATATTACCTTCGAGGGTTTTTTTGGCTTCACTTCAAAGACTAAATTTAAAGGAGGAGAAAAGAGTGACTTGATTTATAGAGCAAATGTAAAAAAAAATTAACTTTTTTTTTAAAGGTATTATTTGTTATAAGCAGTAGAGTTTGGAGATACTCGTCTTCCTGTTTTTTGGTTTGTTTGTTTGAAGTGAAAACTTTTTAGATTTTTCATCTCAGGGAAAAAAGTATAGTAATAACTCCCAGTTAGAGCAAATAATATGTGTCAGATGCTTTACTAAGCACTTCATATCTATTATCTTATTAGTCCTAAGAAAATCCTTGAGAAGTGGTAATTACTATTTCTTTTTAGAAATTAAGACATGGCTTCAGTGAAGCTTAGTAAGTTGCTTATAGTCACTCAGCTAGTAAATAAATGATAGAGGACATAGATGGTAGAGGCAGGATTTGAACTCAGGGCTGACTGCAAAGGTGGTTCTTTTTTTTATTACCCTCCCTATCTGTCTGTCCCCAAACATAAATAATTTATACAGATATGTACTCCTATAGAATTCCATTTAAACAAATATAATTATATGCTTATCTGTTTGTCTGTTTGTTTTTAAGTGTAATCTTATCCAACCATTCTTCTATTGGTAAGCATTTACTTTGTTTCTAGTTTTTAGCCTCTAAATATTTTTTTTACTAAACATCCTTACATGTGTTCTAAATCTTTCACTTTTATGGAATAGTCTCAGAAGTGTGATCGCTGGATCAAAGAGTAACATGTTTTTTAAACTGTTTATTCAATTTTTATATTTAATTTACTCATATCCTGTTTGCTTCTCTGAAAGGCTGTAATAGTTCACAGTTCCACCAGTAATGTAGGAATGTATGTGCTGACCCATACTCCAAACATTTGTATTTCATTTTTGCCATCTATGGGTGTAAGTGATACCACATATCTTTGGTTTGCAGCTCCCTGACTGCCAGTAAATTTGCATGATTTGCTCCTCCATGTATTACCTCTTCATATTCTTTGTACATTTTTCTATTTAGTTTTTTTTAAATGTCACTTTGTAAGCACTCTATATGTTATTATGTACATTGATCCTTTGTATCTTTATTATAAACGTCTTCCTAAAACTTTAATTTTTTATGGATTTGATTTTATGGTTTCATGCCATACAAATATTTTCCAGTTTTTATGTAGAAAATTGTGTCTTCATTAAGGTCTCCCATATCTCTAGATTTTGAAAATGTAGTTTCCAAGATTTTCTTGCAAGACTTTTATTGTATGCATTATATCTTTACATGTTTTTTTTTTTTTTTTTTGATACGTGCTCCTAGCGGGAACCAAACCGCGGGACTCTCTCTCTGGTCCGCAGGCCAACACTCCAGCCGCTCAGCCAAACCAGCCAGGGCATATCTTTACATCTTTAATCCATTGGGGATTTATTTTTGTACATTGCATATGAAGGTTGTCCAATTTTATTTCTCCCAGATGGGTAAACAGGTGTGCTACTCCTGTTTTCCTAGAACTACCATCTTTGTTATATCTTAAACTCTCATAGATACTGGGATTGATTTCTAGATTGTCCCTGCTTATTGATCTCTTTGTGTATTTCTATACCAATACTGTTTTGGTTAAAGTGGCTTTGAGTTATGTTCTAATATCTGGTAAAGCAAGTTTTTTTTTTTCACTTTTTATTTTATATATTTTTTTTATCCTTTTTTTTTTTTTTTCCATTTTTTGCTCAGGTAGAGTGGGAGGGAGAGAGAGGGACAGAGAGAGAGAGAGAAACATTGATGTGAAAGGAACACATCGAGTGGCTGCCACCCGCACAACCGACCAGGGCCGGGGACAAACTGCAACCGAGGTACGTGCCCTTAGCGGGAACCGAACCCGGGTCTCTCAGGACTGCAGGCCGACGCTCTAACCGCTGAACCAAACTGGCCAGGGCTTTATCTATTCTTACATATTTAACTTTCCATGTAATCCTTAAAATTATTTTCTTTACTCTTACCACTACAACCACCCTATAAAGTTATATAAGGATTCTAATTTAAATCACAATTAATTTACATATTGATTTAGGGTATAAGTTATATTGTTATAATATTTTTATGTCAGATGTTATTTTATAACATATATGTTGCCTTCATATATATATGTTGTGCCTCTTCTGTTAAATGTATTTCTAAGAATTATCATAGAATGTTCTTGCTATAGCAAATGGAATATTTTCCAATTCTCATTTCTAGGTGCTAATTGCTACAACAGAAAACAGACATTAATTTTTTAAAATTTTCTATCCATCTACCTCTTGATATTTTATACTAGCATCTTTTGACTTTCAGGTATATGTTAATATCAGCAGCAAAACCTGTTTCACTTTTTTTTTACTGTCTATGTAAGCTACTAAATTGTTTTGGCTTGGTTTTGGTATTTGATAAAAGTATTAAGACAATGTTAAATGATGGGGATCATAACTAGCATCTCTATAGAGTTCCTGATTTTAATTAAAATGGTTTGAATTTTTCAGTCTTTTGTAATGAATGCTGTTTTTTTTTGTAAGTAATTTTCTTCTATCTCTGGCTTTGAATTTTACTAAGAATATCTACTGAATTTTATCAAAAGCTTATTCAGCACTTAATATGATTTCCTTTACTTTGTTGATAGATATATAATCTATCAACGTATGATAGATTTATTGATATTGAACTACCCTTGGCTTTATGGAATAATTTCTGCAGACCGAACACTCCTAGATCCTTTGTTTTTTGTTCTTTCTGATCTTTGACCAAGGGCTCCTCAACCTTGATCTCTGGAAAGAATGTGTCAGACAGATGCTGGGGAAAGAAATCCTTATAAGTAATCCACAGGGACTCCATGGCTTCTCTTACCACCGTTCTAAGACCTGTATTTGTTTATCTCAATCAAATAAATTGGAGTTAAGAATGGAGGGGAAATAGGCACTTTTTGGTCTCCAGTTTTCAGAATCATCCTTTGGTCCTTTTTCCTTTTGGTTATTTTTCACCTTTATGTCAATGGCACTTCTCTTCCTTTTATTTATTTTGCTTAATAGCAAACATTTACATCTAAACTGCTTCCTTAAGTGATCCTTTTAATAATAGAATAATTAAATAGCAATATATTCTAATGTTTTTTTCCTTTTTTTTGTTTTTTTTTTATCCTCACCTGAGGACATTTATTTTTGGATTTATCTTCAGATAGAGCAGGAGGGAGAGAGGGAGAGACAGACAGACAGACAGACAGACATTGATGTGAGAGAGACATATCGACTGGTTGCCACCCACAGGACCCCAACTGGGGCCGGGGACAAACTGCAACCGAGGTACGTGCCCTTAGCGGGAACTGAACCCGGGTCTCTCTGGTCCGCAGGCTGACCCTCTAACCGCTGGGCCAAACTGGCCAGGGATGATGTTTCTTTTTTCTTCCATTCAATCAGACTTGTGTTTTCTGAAACCAATTTGCATTGTTTTCTATAGTGGTTTCAGTAATACTTCACTGGTAAGACTGCCATGTGTTTCAAGCTTATGTAGAACCTAAACTAGACCATATAACCAATGTTTACATTTCAAATTGTCCAGCCCTGGCCGGTTTTGCTCAGTGGTTAGAGCGTCGGCCTGCAGTCTGGAGAGACCCGGGTTCGGTTCCCGCTAAGGGCACGTACCTCATGGGCTATTTGGGGGAGGGGGGGGAGGACAGGACTCAAACTCAGTATCTAATTTTCCAGAATGTTAAAGCTTAAAGGAAGATCAACCATTTACTTCAGCAACCTCGTTTCACAAGAAGAAATGAATGATCACAGGTGTAGAAGACCTCATTTGAGGTCACATAAACTAGGAGCAGAGCTGAAACTAGTACCCAGGCTTCCTAAGTCCATGGCCAGTGCTCTCTTTGCTAAATTGACCCCCTTTTTGTTTGGTATCCACAGGCAAATTCTCATGATCAAGTATTAGTGAATCCTTGAATATTACCAGACCTACCAGAGAGATATTTTTAAATTAAAAACAAACAATCTGTATAATAATAAAATTATCATTAGATTTTTTTTTTTAATACTTTTTTTTAAGTTTATTTTTTCTTTTTTTTTTATCCTCACCCGAGGACATTTTTCCATTTTTTGTTCAGGTAGAGCGGGAGGGAGAGAGAGGAACAGAGAGAGACAGAGAAACATCGATGTGAAAGGAACACATCGAGTGGCTGCCACCCACACAACCGACCAGGGCCGGGGACAAACTGCAACCGAGGTACATGCCCTTAGCAGGAACTGAACCCGGGTCTCTCAGGACCGCAGGCCGACGCTCTAACCGCTGAGCCAAACCGGCCAGGACTCATTAGATATTTTTAAGTTATTTTTCCAGATTGATAAAATGTAGATGGGCCGCCAGAGCTTCTCTTGGACAAACAATTTGATTTTTTTTTTTAATCCTCACCAGAGGACATTTTTTGATATTTTGTTCAGATAGAGTGGGAGGGAGAAAGACAGAGAGAAACATCAACGTGAAAGTGACACATCGAGTGGTCGCCACCCACACGACCCAGCCAGGGCTGGGGACATACAAACAATGGAAAAATGTCCTCAGGTGAGGATAAAAAAAAAAGATTAGAAACATTAAGTTTGATCCTATGAAAATTGCTGATACTTGACAATTTTTGATCTACCATAGGTAATTACTTGTGCATCAACCTAATAATTATATGTGAATTAAACAGTTATCATACTAAGGCTTTACTTGAAAGTTTTCAATCTAAAAGCAGAATTGTTTGTTGTTTTATTAGGCATTTGTTACTTAGTCAAAAATACAAAGTAGAAATTAAAGGAATAAACATACCTTTGAAAGTCAGCTTTGTGCCAGTGCTATGTGAGGTCTCTTGGATAGGCCAATGGATAAAATATACCTGTTCCCTGGTTTGGGGGGAGTTTATAGTCTAATGAGGGAAACAGGATATTACAGAAGTTTCATGAGAGCTGTACATATTGCTGTGTGGCAGATGCACAAAAGGACGTCTCATCTAAGGAGTCTTGTTCAGAAATTATCCAGGGAGGGGGTGATTTTGGGGGTGGAATGGGGTACTACATGACATGTGTGGTGTTCAAAGTCAGAAGGAAAAGAATGTGCTCAAGAGTTAAAAAGAGCTTGGTGATTTAGCCCTGGCCGGTTTGACTCAGCGGTTGGAGTGTCTACTAAGGACCAGAGAGTCACGGGTTCAATTCTAGTCAAGGGCACGTACCTCAGTTGCAGTTAGATCCCTGGCCCTGGTCAGGGCCATACAGGAGGCAACCAATCAATGTGTCCCTTTTATATCAATGTTTCTCTCCCTCCCTCCTTCCTTCTCTATTTGAAAAAAAAATCAAGGGAAAAATACCTTGATGAAGATTTTTTTTTAAAGCAGGTTGCATCATATAACATATATCTCCACCCAGGTGTGCAGACCTTGCATGCTTACAAATACCAACATTTGTTTATTTTCTTTTGCTGTACTGGATCTGTTTAACTTTATTTAGAAGGATGAATTGAAAATCGAAAGATACCTGGAGGAAAGGACACTAAAAATACACATTTTCTAATTAGCTGAAAATTGTCATCATTTATGATATTACGAGAAGAGCCACAATAAAATCCCATTTTGCATTGTTTTAATTGGGCACAAACAAGATTGTGTTTTCTGAGAAACAAAGGCTAATTGGTACCATGAAAATTCCTGTAATTTACAAGCCTGGTGGAAATGGTACCTTTACTTTTCCTTCGTTTGTTACATGTTTGGGTACTGTGTCTCAGCAAACTAGAAGCAAGACATGACATTGCAAAACTACAGGATAGCGTTAAAATATAGTAAGAATGTAAATCCTCTTCTGTGTGTACACTCTTTCTGCAGTATTCAGAATGGGTGAGATTTTCCTTATTTTTCTCTTGAAAAACTGATTTTTAAGTTTGTTTGTTATTTTGGTCATCTTTTTAAATACTGGCCAACATCCAGTGAATCACGAGAGAAAATAATGCTGAATATTTAGGCTTTTAGCTAGAACTTGTGCTGCTGAATTATGATTCCTCATTAGCCATGCACTGTTAATGCACTTTCATTCTTCAACATTGCTCTTCGTTCCTTTGGAAACTGCTACAAGAAAATAGGAATTTCCTCTCAGCTTTACCCCTCTGGCAGTGTGTTTCAATCTAATTCCCGGCTGGCACTCTGTTCCGGTTACTACCCCTTCTCCTTACTAGTATTTTGAGTTCTGTTCATGTACCAAAAGGGGGATTCCAGACAGACGAGGAAACAGCTTTGAAACACTGCACTGCAGGCATGTTCCGTTATTCCCCCACTGTGCAGTCTGGAAATCGGGGAGTGCCTCTCTGGTGATGAATCTGAATGAGCTGCTGAAGATGCCTGCACAGGCATTTTCTTTCCCTTCCCCCGCTGCTTCCCTTTCCCAAGCCCCCTCTCTCCCTATTTCCCCTCCTACTCCTTTATCCCCTCCCTCTGTGTCTCAGTTCTGCAGTAAACCCAGCTGAGGCACATTCCTGCTTTGCAAGGCTTTCTGTTAAGGATGTTTTGTGGCTTTTGTTTGGATTGCAGCATGCAGAATTACAGGTAACACTCAGAAATTGAGCTAGACAGATAAATTCTGTTGAAATGTTTTCAGAGAGGCAAGGTATTACACGGGAATCAAGAAAATAAATTACTTTAGCTAATTTTATTCATGGTAATTATGGTAAAATATTTTCAGAAATGCAATAAGCAGATTTCCTTTTCTCCCCCAAAAGCCTCCATTGAAAGGAAAATGGGGGTAGATTGATCTGACTGCGCTTGATTTTGTTTTATGTTGATCATGAGAGCTTGCTGTTGCTGCACCTCCTCTAGAGTAAGGACCAATTAGTTATGTGGAGTGCTACTGAGGGTAGTACTGGGTGGGGTGGGATGGAGTGGGAGGGCTGATACCAGCCTGAACTAGCCAGATTCTTTGATTTTTGTATTGGGATGCAAAATGTAAAATGCTCTTTCCTTTTCTTCTATCAGCTGTTCAGAGGAGACTCATTACAACTCCTGCTGAAGCTCCTAATTTTCTTCCCTTCTCTTCTACCCCTACCCCCTACCCTCATTGGCCTGAAGACATTGCACTCAGAATTTGCCTTACTCCCCTGGCACTATGTGTGTGGTAAACCTGATACTATGGCCGCGTCTGGGACTGGCCAGACCACTGCTGCTGGCTCTCCCTGTTCCAAGGACTTAAAGGGAGATTGCACTGCAGGCAATGCATCAGAGCAGCAGCATCGCAAGCCTGAGGACTGAGGCTCCTTGGGCATTATTACACACACACAGAGCTGACCGCAATGACAGCAGCTGCTCCTTCGAACTGTTGGCAGCGGCCAAGCGGCAGCATGAAGTGAGAGATCACTCCTGAGCTCAAGATGAACTCCACCTTGGATGGTAATCAGAGCAGCCACCCTTTTTGCCTCTTGGCATTTGGCTATTTGGAAACTGTCAATTTTTGCCTTTTGGAAGTGTTGATTATTGTGTTTCTAACTGTATTGATTATTTCTGGCAACATCATTGTAATTTTTGTATTTCACTGTGCACCTTTGTTGAACCACCACACTACAAGTTATTTTATCCAGACTATGGCATATGCTGACCTTTTGGTTGGGGTCAGCTGCCTGGTTCCTTCTTTATCACTCCTCCACTACCCGCTTCCAGTAGAGGAGTCCTTGACTTGCCAGGTGTTTGGTTTTATAGTATCAGTTCTGAAGAGTGTCTCCATGACCTCTCTGGCCTGTATCAGCATCGATAGATATATTGCCATCACTAAACCTTTAACCTATAACACCCTGGTTACACCCTGGAGACTACGCCTGTGTATTTTCCTGATTTGGCTATATTCTACCCTGGTCTTTCTGCCTTCATTTTTCCACTGGGGTAAACCTGGATATCATGGAGATGTGTTTCAGTGGTGTGCGGAGTCCTGGCACACCGACCCCTACTTCACCCTGTTCATCGTGATGATGTTATATGCCCCAGCAGCCCTCATTGTGTGCTTCACCTATTTCAACATTTTTCGCATCTGCCAACAGCACACAAAAGAAATCAGCGAAAGGCAAGCTCGATTCAGCAACCAGAGTGGGGAGACTGGGGAGGTGCAGGCCTTTCCCGACAAGCGCTATGCCATGGTCCTGTTCCGGATTACTAGTGTGTTTTACATCCTCTGGTTACCATACATCATCTACTTCTTGTTGGAGAGCTCCACTGGCCACAGCAACCGCTCCGCATCCTTCTTGACCACCTGGCTTGCTATTAGTAACAGTTTCTGCAACTGTGTCATTTATAGTCTCTCCAACAGTGTCTTCCAAAGGGGACTAAAGCGCCTCTCAGGGACCATGTGTACTTCTTGTGCAAGTCAGATCATAGCAAAGGACGCTTACACAGTTAGGAGCAAAGGCTCTATTAATGGATGCCATGTCTGAAGTGATTCGGATATTGGGTCATTGTGTGTGTGGGAGGCGGGGTGTCCTTCTTGTCTCTTCGTATTCCTTGTTCATGAGAAAATCTGGGACAAAATAATTTGACTCTAAGCAATAGGAAACAAATGATCCATCCAAAAAAACCTTCTAAATTTGTAGAAATGGTTTTTCTTAAAGAGTGCTTTTAAATCAGAAGAATCAGGACCATGAAGATAAATTGCTCTTGGTTCCAATTTTTGTAATGTCATGGAAATGACTACAGTGCTCAGATTTAAAATGAATAAAGTCGTATCTCACACCTCTCCAGCTGGCATGACTGAACCTGGGTGTGAAAAGTGTCAGCATTTTAAAAGTCATCATTTTCTTGTTGTTTTTCTGGGTTCTTTCCAGTTTTTTGGGCTTCATATGCAATTAATTTCTTTTAACGGGGAATATTAAAATACAGTGATGAATTAACAGAGTTTTTAAACATTGTGTATGCCAAAGTATAACACTGCAAGTTTCAACACTGTCATTTAGAAATTCAAATGTTTTATGTCTTATTCCCTTGAGAGAATTCTCAATACAGTGAATAATGTGGACATTTAAATAGTAATTTTAGAATTTGCGATGAACTGTGATGCAAAAGTACAGTCACATACTAGACAATTTATGAAGAACTGAGCTACTTTTTGTACCATGCTTTACAGAGATCTAAAGAAGTGTATGCATAGAAAGTGATTCTGTTGCAGTATTTTTGCCCATGCCTTTGTGTATGTGTGTATTGAGAACATTTTAATTGAGTTAGATTTCACTTTTACAGTAAAGTGGACATTTAACTAGTCCACTTTTTAAAATAGAAAGGGATTAATTGAGATATTCTTTTTGTAGTTAAATGGAATCAACTAACAAAATAGCAACTGATTCTTTTTCAAAGCATTCTTTTAGTTAGTTAAGGAATCCACATTTGGATAAGAGTAGAAATTCTGATTTGTCTATGTCTCTCATTGCTGTTCTCCTTTGGTATATAGTTCTTTTCTTAATATTCTTTTAAAACCAAAGTACTAGCAAAATCTATAGGATTTTATTATCTATAGAATTATTAATTGAGAATGCTGTGTATTTGTATGTAGTAGTGATGTTTTGTTCTTAAAGTGATTATTTTTAGAGCAAAGGAGAGAAGGATCTCCCAGCAGCTCCAGGCATGAGAGTATTTCCTCTACTGGTTTTAATGTTTTGAAGTCTTCAGGGGACTTATGTGATCTCTGCCTTTGGCTAGTAGTTGTAATCTAAATGCAACAGTAATGTTCAGTGAGATGGAAGATGGAAGAAACCCAAGGGATGTGGGTGAAAGTAGATTTTTGAATCCAAGAAAGGACATGGATATTTATAAAATAGGCAGATATGCTTTGGTTTCCCAGCATGATATAAAGAAGGTTCCTACCCCTTTTAAAATAAAGGGCAGCTTTATGATTTTAGGTTTTAGATATCTATTTGATTTTAACCTCAAATGTGTTCTATTTAAACTTTTTTTATTTTAAGTGATTAATATATAAAATTTAAATTTAAGATTCTGAGTACTTCCCCAAAACTTTCTTGCTATTTATATTTAGCATTAGAAAATTTGATTTAAGTTGTTTCAAAATTTAGAATTCATATTGAAATTGCAAGTTAAGTTAGCAATGTCTTTAAATTGCCATTTCTAGTGGAAAACCTTTTCTCTTGAATTCTAAAAAACAGTTGTATACATTTCTTCTTTAAGCAGCACAGTTCTAAAAAAATTTTTTTTCATATATGCTGGAGAATGTAACCTATTCAGATTTGCACAGTTTGCTTGAGAATTTTTAGTTAAGCAATTATGGGAATCTTAGACTTCGTTTTTACAAAAAATTGATATTAAATCGCTAGATTTTACTTTTTAGGGGGCTGAGAACCCTTTTAATCTTTTTCTCCAATAGGATCCCATCATATGAGAATGGAAAAAAGAAAATTTTTGTTTATTTTCCTGGAAATGTTTTTTTAGTGACTGTAAAGACAACCCTTTTAATAAAAGGTTTTGTTAATATATTTTTATATTTTTGTTCTAATACCAAATTTAGATGTTAGTAGAAGGTTTTGTTCTTTTCTTCACATTAGATACTTTATCAGTGTATTGGTCTAAAACTAAAGTAGAAACTGAGTAGATTGAATAATTTAAAGATAAATAAAGCTCCCAACCCCCTCGCCAACTGATACTTGCTTAATGTCAGATGTTTCCCCAGTTTATCTTGTCTTCATTGGACTTTATAAATTCTAAGGTGTCAGTTCCAGTCTCACATTTATTGTCTATATTGCTTTTTAAATTTTCCTTTGTGTGTGTATGTTGGAGAAAGGGGACATGCCTGGATGCAATCATACAGTCTTCTGTGGCTGGGGGCAGTTTCTATGTGATACATTTAGAGAGTTTGTATTTAAATAATCTTTTCTTCTTGCCATATTTAATCTACCATTCAATGACATTTGGGTTAAATACCAATCTGACTAGTTCAGAATGAGAAAAAAGCATATTTTTAGACTCAATTACCTTGGGCTTTGGCAAGACAGCACATTTAACTTTATATGGTATATGACTGATATCAGAGGAAGCATGAACTTTTGGTGATTGTGTTGAAATTATTTCATAGTACATTTTAAAATAAGATCATACTAGTTGTATTTATAAATTTGTTGTGTAGTTTTTATACAATGATTTATTTCAGTGAAGTTGTATTTTTTTCTTTAGAGCAAAAGGCAATTACAAAAAGACAAGTGTTCCACTTTAATGAAAGAACTACCTTACACCAGAATGGATATTTGAATATTTCATGGACCCGTTGAATCACCCTAAATTCCATTTTGGAAAGGATTTTCTTTAGGCTTTATTGTTGGGTAAATTCCTTTTTGAGCGTTTTATAATGGCTTTTCCTTTTTACTTGAATAATGTTCTCAGTGTTTTAAGGATTGAAAAAACTTGAATTTTTTGTGCTATAAATTCATTGTCCACCTCTTTGAACTTGAAAATAAAGCAACAAGGCTCCCAGATAATAGAATGGTTTCTGAGAGCTTTCTAAGCTTTTCAGGTTTGATTTAAAAATCTGCATGGTGGTTTTGTAGGAAATGTTTTAATTTTACTGACTATATGTTTTTGTGTCATAAAATATGTGTTAAATAAATTATTGGCAAACCAAAACTTATTGTTTTATGAGCAAGTTTGAAGAAATTTAAGGGTGGGAGAATTGTGACACTGTGAGATTTGTTAAAAGTATTTATTAATTAGTCTTTGTGGATTTTTTGCATAATTTTTTCCATTTTAGGTTGAAGAATAATATGTTAAATATACATATTAATATATTTTGCAGACCCTAGGAATATTCTAGACATTTTTTATAGCTGTAAAAAAGTCATTTGGCTTTTCTTCAAAATTTGAGAGACAAAGGGCTTCACAATATGCTTAAAATGAATTTTGAACTGAGAATCAGAAAATCTGGGTTACTGTTATTAATTAGTTTTTTACTCCTTTGCTTGTAATATTAACAGCCAGATATCACCGATCTTTTGAGAAAATCTCACATAAAATATACAGAGCCCAGAAGAAAAGAAATCAGAGGAAACAGAAACAGTGCAAGTCACAGAAGAAAACTTAAAAAAAAAATTGAACAGTAACATTTTCAGACATTGTTCATCCATTAAAAGAGAATCTGATGCCATAAAAAACAACCAGAAAGATGATGAGAAAGAGCTCTTGAGATTTAAAGTATAATCAGACATTTTAAAAATTGGAGAAGTTGGAAGATAAAATTGAAGTAGGCCAGATAGTGAAACAGAAGACAATAAAGTAGACAGAAAGCAGGACAAATTAGAGGCTCGATCAAGGAGACTCAGTACCTAACTAGCATGATTTTTAGAAATAGAGTAGAGAAAAAGGAAATTCTCAAAGAAATATCACAGAAATTTTTCCAGAACTGAAGGATATATGTTTTTATAATGAAAAGGACCAGCTTAATGTAATTTTAAAAAAGACTTTGACAGCAGATTATTATAAAATTTCAGAACTCTGGGAATAAAGAAAAACCCTAAAAGCTTCTTGGTCTGAAGTAGGGGAGGGAGAGTGGAAACATACTTAGTTACAGAGATCTGAATAGCATTGGACTTTCCACCTTAATAAAGCAAGAAGGTAATGAGGAACTTCGAAATTTTGCATAGTGATTTTTGACATAGAATTGTATGCCCAGACACACAATTATTCAAGTGTGAGAGTAAAATAAATCCATTTGAGATATACAGGGTCTCAACATATTTACCTGCATTACATACATCTAGAAAGTTACTGAAAGATATGCTTCCCCAGAATGAGAGATAGAATCAGGAAAGAGGAAGATACTGAACGTAAGATAAAAGGGCTCCCGCCCTGGCCGGTTTGGTTCAGCGGTTAGAGTGTTGGCCTGCGGTCCCGAGATACCTGGGTTCAGTTCCCGCTAAGGGCATGTACCTCGGTTGCAGTTTGTCCCCAGCCCTGGTTGGGTCGTGCGGGTGGCAGCCACTTGATGTGTCCCTTATCAGATCGATGTTTCTCTCTCTTCCTCTCTTTTCCTTCTACTCTATCTGAACAAAAAAAATGGAAAAATCCTTGAGTGAGGATTAAAAAAAAAAAAAAAAGGGCTCCCAACATAGGGGAGAGGTGAAGAGAATTCCCACAGTAATAGGAAAGGAAAGTCCTAGGAAGTCATATGTGCAGCAAACCTAGAAAGCATCTCGTCCAAATGGGAGCAGATAAATAGAGCACTGGGAGTTACATCTTTAGAGAGCAGTAATTGGGAGGAATTGACAGTTCTGTTAGGTTTATAGGGAAAGAATTTGGGCCGTAAGACCTTTTGGATACAGAGAACACTGAAGGAAAGGTGGTACAGAGAACACTGAAGGAAAGGTGGGCAGGTGCGGTGGGCAATTATCCCTGGCCAGTAAGGTTCAGTTGGTTGGTTGGGCATTGTCCTGTGCACCAAAATGTTGCCAGTTCAATTCTAGGTCAGGGCACATGCCTGGGTTGGGGGCTCAATCCCTGGTAGGGGGCGTGCAGGAGGCAGCCAATCCATATCTCATTCTCACATCAGTGTTCCTCTCTTTCCCTTTCTCTCTCGCTAAAAATCAATAAATTAGCAACTTCAGAAAAAGCAAAGTTGAAAAAAGGAAATCTAATCATGATATACTCTGATTCATTTGTGAGCAATATTGGTTTAACTAAAATTGTAGCAAAATTATGTTGAGAGTCATGATGCGGGGAAGGGAAGTATATGTGTGTGGGGATGAGGTTGGGGACTATAACAGCTACAGTATCATCTCCCATACTAGAAAGTCTGAAAAAACCACCAAAGCACTGGCCAGTTTGGCTCAGCAGTTAGAGCTTCAGCCCGTGGACTAAAGGGTTTCAGATTTAATTCCCAGTCAAGGGCATACACCTGGGTTGCAGGTTCAATCCTAAGCCCTAATTGGGGTCATGTGGGAGACAA